GTTAGGCTCATAATTTAATAGGCCGGAGCACCGCCGAACTACCCGGATTAGCCCAGCAACGGTTAGGAAAGTTCTAGCAATCCAACCTAGCAAAGACCAACTCTACATGGAAAGGGATCAAGCAAGGAAAGAAATAAAGAAGGCTCTTACTCCCCTTAGTTAATTTAAACATCCAAGGAAAGAAAATCATGTATTAATTAATATACTATGTATGGACCAAGGAGGAGGGCATAAATACACGATCAACTATGATCAAAAGCCACTTTGGATTCTAGCAAACCATTACGATTAAGCAAGAAGCCTTTGTTCGAATATTAATCTATTCTTATTGCTATTTCTTTTGTTCTTAATCTCCTTAGTGTTGATTCTTAGTTGTTCGATTCCCTCACAATCATTATTCATAGTTTAGCTTAATTTGGCTAAAACAATTTGGCGCCGTCTGTGGGAAAATCTTGCAAAAAAAAAGAAATCAACCATGACCGAAAAATCAAACACTTTGGTAGAGGAGATTCAAACCCAATTGGAAGCTGTTCGAGAAGAATTGCGTGCGGCCAAGAGGTTCGACCAGTCGAGGGAAGAGATGCAGACCCAGCTGGAAGCCGTCAGGGAGGAGATGCGTCAGCGAATAGCCTTCCTCCAGGGGGAGAATGACGCTTTGCGTTCCCAGGTGCAGTCGGTGGCGTCCATAGCCTCGAACTCACGACGGGGAAAGGAGATCATGACCGTGGCTTCAAGGTTGGACATGGATTCAATGCCTGCTCCGACCTCAACCATGGACATGGAGTCAGCACCGGTTTCAACCTCAACATTCTCCTTCATGAAGGAATCGTTCCCGGAGATGGTGGGTTTTGATTCGAATGACGGAATTTACTCCCCGGTAATTTCACAGCTTATACCATATGAACCCCTCATCCCGGAAACAGCCCCAAATACAAGAACCCCGATATGTTCTTTCCCAGATTCGTTGCGGGTCAGACCGACGACATCACGATTGCAGACTATCAACCAGCCAATGCCGTCGTCGAACATCATGTCGTCACTTGCAGTACCTGTCGTCCCTTACCATGAAGGCGGCACATCTGGAGGAGCAGGACCATCAAGTCGTCCTGGCTCATTCAAGAAGATACAGGAGTATAACTTGAAGCTTAATCCCGCCAAGTGCACATTTGGAGTCTCATTAGGAGAATTCCTCGGCTACATTGTCAGTGAAAGAGGAATTGAAGCGAGTCCAGAACAAGTCCGGGCCATATTAGACATCGAATCTCCTAAATCAATCAAAGATGTCCAGAAACTGACCGGACGAGTTGCAGCACTCAACAGGTTCATATCGAAGTCGTCAGACAGATGCCGACTTTTCTACGACATTCTCAGAAAAAATAAGAAGTTCGAATGGACAGAACAGCATGAAAAAGCCCTGCAACAACTAAAGGAATATATGACAACACCACCTCTACTGACGAAACCAAAGGAAGGGGAGGAACTGCAGCTGTACTTGGCAGTATCTGAGCATGCCGTCAGCGCGGTCTTGACCCGAGAAGAAGACGGACAACAAACACCAGTTTACTATGTAAGTAAATCTTTAAACGGGCCAGAATCCAGGTACGCGCTTTTAGAAAAGTTAGTATTGGCGTTAATTACAGCATCCGTTAAACTACGTCCTTATTTTGAATCACATTCTATTTGCGTCCGTACTAACTATCCCATGAAGTCCATCATGAGGAAACCAGATCTAACAGGTCGAATGATCAAATGGTCAATACAGTTGGGGGCATACGACATCACATATGAACCCAGGACAGCTTTGAAGTCACAAGCTTTAGCCGATTTTGTGGCGGACTTCAGCCCCAAGCTACAAGTAGAAGCGGGAAAGGAAGTATGCCTTCTGATAGGCGATCAGCACCAACAGAAGTGGATACTGCATACTGACGGAGCCTCGAACATGCACGGAGCAGGCCTTGGAGTCATGCTGAAGTCACCACAAGGGGGCACCATACTACAAGCTGTCCGATGTGATTTCAACGCAACAAACAACGAAGCGGAGTACGAGGCACTGATTTTCGGACTAAACTTAGCCCGAAACTTGGGTATAAAACTAATCGAGGTAAAATGTGACTCCCTTTTAATTGTTAATCAAGCTAACGGAGTCTATGCAGCTAAGGACCTAAAGATGATGGCATACCTTCAAGTTGTTACTAAATTGAGCAACTTTTTCGACCACATCACTTTTGATCAAGTTCCGAGGGGGGGAAAACGTCCAAGCTGATGCCTTGGCAGCAGTCGGATCATGTCTGGGGGCAGAAAACAATGACAACATACCATTCGTCCACTTGACTGAGCCCGCCATTGAGAAATCAGAATTCGTCAATATCATTGAATCAACCACCGACAGCAACTGGATGAAGCCATATATGGACTATCTCAAGCACAACATCCTCCCAACTGACAAAAGGGAAGCAAGAGCACTCTTATCTAAGGTAACAAAGTTTTTATTAATCGATGACATTTTGTTTAAACGATCAAAGGCAGGTCCATATCAAAGATGCTTGACCCCTGAGGAAGCTGTCAAGGTGCTCAAAAATCTGCACGAGGGGGAATGTGGAAATCATGCAGCGGGCAGAAGTTTATCCAATAAAGCCCTCAGGTTTGGTTATTACTGGCCTACGATGAGACATGATGCTGTCACCTACACTCAAGCTTGCCAACCTTGTCAGAAGCACGCACCATTGCACCATCAACATGCAGAGTCACTTCACCCTGTTCTATCTTCGTGGCCTTTCATGAAATGGGGCATGGATATCGTGGGAAAGCTACCTGAGGCACCCGGGCAGAAGGTCTACATGTTGGCAATGACGGACTACTTCTCAAAGTGGATCGAAGCGGAACCCTTCCGACAAATCCGCGACACCCAGGTAATATCATTTATTAAAAGAAACATTTTGAGCAGGTTCGGCATCCCATCAGAAATCGTGTGCGACAATGGATCGCAATTCATCAGCATCAAGACAAGACGTTTTTGCGAAAAGTACAACATCAAGATGGAGATGTCGACACCTCGTTACCCGCAAGCAAACGGACAAGCCGAATCAAGTAACAAGATCATCATCTCAAATCTAAAGAAACGGCTTGAAAAGGCACAAGGAAGATGGGCCGACGAGTTGCCCCTGATATTGTGGGCAGACAGGACGACACCAAAAAATGCCACAGGTCAAACACCTTTCTCGTTGGTTTATGGATGTGAAGCTGTCATACCAGTCGAAGTCGAAGTACCAACATCTAGGTATGGGCTCATCACAGAGGAAACAAACAACATAGAACTGGTTCATGACCTTGACACCATAGACGAATTGAGAGAAAACGCTAGGGTGCAAATAGCGGCCTATCAACAAAGGGTGGCGAAAAGTTACAACAAAGATGTCAGAGCTAAAATATTCAAGAAAGGTGATTGGGTGCTTAGGAAATCTTTTGGCAACGAGGCAAGCGGAAAGTTTAGTCCTAATTGGGAAGGCCCTTACCAGATCACCGAAGTCGTCGGGCAGGGGGCGTACCGGTTAGCATCCATGGACGGTAAACAAGTACCAAGAAGCTGGAATGCGGTACACTTAAAACCTTTTCACTTTTAGTTTGATCGTTCTCATAAATACAACATATATTTCATTTATTTACGTTACTAACTTGATCGTCGGAGGGCCGTTGGCCTCAAGCCAACGGCCAAGTGAATCTTTAGATCAGATATGGTCTGACGACATCAAGCTGGTCGAACCTGACAGATTGACACAGGTAATCATCAAACACGGAATGGGTAAGTCTTTCTCAAGTTCTACAAACCATGATCATCTCAACAGTACGTCACTCATCTTGAAACAAATTAATGAGCTACATCTTATATCAATAGAAACAACAACTTCCGAACACAGGTAGCCTTTTTCATGTTACTAAGCATTTTCGTCAAATTAAAGCTTTTTATAATAAAGATGAATAACCAAACTTTAAACACTCAGTTGATATTCTAGCAAAAATAATTGAGTTGGAAAACTATTTTCTTTAAGCAAAACTTTGTTTTGTCATTATGTATCATAATCTCAGTTACTAACTTTATCATCGGAGGGTCGTTGGCTCCAAGCCGACGGCCAGACTCTGACGACATGTTAAAATGCAGAGCACTAACGAGTAAGCCAAGCACCAGTTGCCGATGTAGACGACAAACAAACATCCTAAAGATACTGACACATCTCCCAGAACACATCATTAAGGGAGAGCGAGGATGACATGGGCCCTTCGTATGCAATTAAAACATATGAACAACAAACCCATGCACCTTGCATGTTTTGGCCAAAACAACAGAATTACACAACAGAAGCATGTGCTTCATAAGCACGACAACACAAACTCCAAAACATAAGGAGACAACATGAGCGACATTGACATAAAACATAACTATTCATGTCGACTACATTAACAAAATCGTAAATGAAACAATACTCAAAGTTTTTGCAGGATTTTCGCAGCAACGGACGAAGTTCCCTTTGCCAACCGAAGTGTCAACATCTACCTAGATGAAGTTCCAAGTCGTCAGCATTGCCTAGATGTGATCGTTAGCACAACTCTAGAAGAAGAAGGAACAATCAAGTAGATCGAAGTGGGATATCAACCAAGAGTTCAAATTCATAATGACGACATCCATCTAGCGTGTCCGCCATCATCATGAATTGGGGGCAATTGTTAGGCTCATAATTTAATAGGCCGGAGCACCGCCGAACTACCCGGATTAGCCCAGCAACGGTTAGGAAAGTTCTAGCAATCCAACCTAGCAAAGACCAACTCTACATGGAAAGGGATCAAGCAAGGAAAGAAATAAAGAAGGCTCTTACTCCCCTTAGTTAATTTAAACATCCAAGGAAAGAAAATCATGTATTAATTAATATACTATGTATGGACCAAGGAGGAGGGCATAAATACACGATCAACTATGATCAAAAGCCACTTTGGATTCTAGCAAACCATTACGATTAAGCAAGAAGCCTTTGTTCGAATATTAATCTATTCTTATTGCTATTTCTTTTGTTCTTAATCTCCTTAGTGTTGATTCTTAGTTGTTCGATTCCCTCACAATCATTATTCATAGTTTAGCTTAATTTGGCTAAAACATGACCACTCCCTTAGAGGTTAAAAATGCGAGTCGTGCAAACCATGTGGTTTCTAGCATCCAAATTGAGTTGGAAAGGGAGGGGGAGATCGGTGCAGACCATGTGGTTTCTAGCATCCAAATTGAGCATCCCATAGAGCAGATACTGTACAAAACAGGGTTAGCGAAGTTGAGCCTCAGTTTATGCATTGTAAGTTAAAGTGTATGATATCCCAGATTCCTTGCTTTGTTACACTGGTGTATGCTCTTTATACGGTGGTGGATAGAAGGAAGCTTTGGGATCAACTAACTCTCATTGGTCAGGGTATTAACCTACTGTGGATCATTATGGGGGACTATAACTGTGTATGCAGCCCGGGAGAGAGATTAGGAAGTGAAGAACCTATGGCATACCTTATGAATGACTTCGTGGCGTGCAGGAACTTGCTGAATTTGGAAGATGCTTCAGCAAGTGGGGATTTGTTTACTTGGCGTAGGAATAACAAATGGGCCAAGCTTGATAGAGTATTGGTCAATAATGCTTGGAAAGAACAAAATCTACTATGCCATGCTGAGTTTCTAGGGTTTGATTACTCCTCTGACCACTGCCCCATTATGGTAAACCTAATACAAAATGAAACGGGAGGCTGTAAACCGTTTAGGTTTTATAATATGTGGATGGAAACTTCATTTTTCAAAGATATCTTGAAGCAGGTGTGGGATAGACCTGAATATGGCTACTGGCAACATGTACTTTGTACAAAACTTAAAAGGTTAAAAGGGCCCCTAAAGGAAATGAACAAGAATGAGTTTGCTCATATTTCGACTAAAGCTAGAATAGCTAAGGAGGAGTTTATGAATGCTTAGAAAATGCTGGTTGGTGACCCTACAAATTCCCAACTAAGTGAAGTTGCTGATTTGGCTAGGAATGCGGCTGAATTTTTCTCTGAAGCTGAAAAGTGTTTCTACCAGCAAAATACTTTCATGCTTTATCAAAGAAGAAAGCGGCTAAGAACTCAATATCCTTCATCACCAAAGCCAATGGTATGACTACTAATTCTTCAAAAGAAGTTGCTGTGGAATTTGTGAATTTCTTTCAGGATCTGCTGGGTACTTCCAGTGATTGTATGCCTCCAAATGTCGAAGTTATCAAAGGAGGAAAACTTATCAAAGCTGAGCAAGCTAATCTTCTTGTCTCCCCAGTACTAAACCAGGATATAAAGGAGGCACTATTCAGTATTGGAGATGATAAGGCCCCAGGACCAGATGGTTTCTCTGCTGGATTTTTTAAACATAACTAGTTTGTAGTTAAGCCAGATGTGACCAGAGTTGTTAATGAATTTTTTAACTCTGGAAAGATCCTTAAACAACTTAATCACACAGTTGTGGCCCTCATACCTAAAACAACTACAAATGCTACTGTTGGGGATGACAGACCGATCTCTTGTACCAATGTCATCTATAAAGTGATATCCAAGGTTATTGCTTGGAGAATAAACAAGTTGTTACCTGATCTGATTGATCTCTCCCAAACTGCATTTGTTGAGGGGAGAGAAATCTCTGAAAATATTCTCCTCGCTAAGGAGTTGGTACGGGGTTATTCTAGGAAAAGGGTATCTCCTAGGTGTCTCATTAAAGCTGACTTGAGGAAGGCTTATGACACAGTGAACTGGGAATATTTCTCTGTACTATTATGAATGCTTTTGGATTCCCAGAACCATTTCTTGGATGGGTGATGGAATGTGTCAGATCAACTTCTTTTTCAGTGTCTATCAATGAGAGTTTACACAGCCACTTCAAAGGAAAACGCGGATTGAGGCAAGGCGATCTCATATCTCCAGGCTTGTTCATTCTCTGTATGGAATACTTGTCTCGCTTGATTAACCATGAGACTGCAAGGGGGGGGGGGGGGGGGGGGGGGGGGTCAGTATCATCTTAAATGCAATCAGATAAAGATATCTCACCTTATATTCGCTGATGATCTGATGTTATATGCCAAGGTTGACTATGGGTCGGTGAGTGTGCTTATGAAATGCTTGGACTCCTTCCGAAATGCTTCAGGACTTACTGTTAGTGTGGAGAAGTCCAATGTGTTTTTGGCAGGGGTAAATGGACAGATGAAGGATGACTTACTTGCCCTGACTGGTTTTCAAGAAGGAGAATTCCCTGTGAGATACTTGGGCATTCCTCTAGTCCCCATGAGAGTCTCGGTGGCCCAGTACTCTCCACTTATTCAAAAAATTGATGGTTATGTGGCAAAGTGGAAAGTTAAATCTATGTCATATGCAGGGAGGGTTGAACTGATCAGGGCAGTGGTACAGGATGTTCAGTCCTATTGGTTGCAGGTTTTCCCCATTCATGTAGCCATCCTTGATAGGATTATCTCTACTTGTATACAATTCATTTGGGATGGTAAAAGCGCTAAAGTTGCGTGGTGTGATATCTGTAAACCTAAAGAAGAAGGTGGGTTGGGACTAAGGGAATCAAAAGTCTGGAATCTAGCTTTGATTGGCAAGACCTTCTGCAACATTCATTCAAAAAAAGATTCATTGTGGATTAAATGGTTTCATGGTATATAATCTATATATCTGAAAAATTGTTCTATATGGGAATGGAGTCCCAAGTGTCGGGATTCCCCTTTGTTGAAGAAGTTGGACAGAAGAAAAGGCGTTCTTTTACAATATCTTGGCAGCCCGGAGGCTATTATTGCAAAGTTTGGAGTCAACTGCAGAAATGGAAAGTTGGTCTCGTCCACCCTTTATGACGCTCTCCTGTCCAAAGCAGTTAGTAGACCTTGGATGAATTTTATTTGGAAGAGTTACATTCCTCCTAGGTTTTCTTTTATCTTGTGGCTCTGCTTTAGAAATAGGTTATCTGCGGCAGATAATCTGTGGTACATTGATGTTGAAAGAAGATGTTATTTTTGTAAAGATCACATTGAAACTGTGGAACACTTGTTTTTCTTATGTCCGGTGATTGCATCTATTTGGAAAAGCATTTGTATGTGGCTGGGTATTAGAAGAACTTTATCTACTCTACACAGTGCAGTTAAATGGATTAAATAAGAGTGTTTAGAGGTGCTCGGCTCACTAGCAAGGCTGTTAGACTCATTTTCATGCACAGTTTATTCCATTTGGAAAGCAAGGAATACAGCCCTATTTGCAGAAGGGGTTATCTCTATTGAAGGCTTGATTATGCATATTAGTTAAAGTGATTATCTATAAAGTGTTATATAGAATCTAGAGGTTTTTACGAGAATATTACTAAAATAAAACTTATTTACATAAATATGACTATTCATTACTACAACGTAGTGCTGTAGTAACTAAAGTTCAAAACTTGAACATGAATTACTATGATTTCATTACTACTCTAGTAATGAATCATATTTTTGTAAATCATCTTTATTTTGGTCACATTTATGTAATTATTTCTAGAATCTACCCCTCAACCATGATTGACATTTAATTTTCCTGTGTTTTAGTCGTTACCAATTTTGTGAATTTTCCTTTGTTGAGGCCTATGTTTGGCTTTTCTGCAATTTCAAATTTTCAATCTTAGGCAGCCATGGTTCGCACCTTATAGATCTATTTCTATCCGAATGTTGTGGGAAAATCATAGGGGTATGCCCCCTTTAACTATGTAATCTTTATCTATTACTTGTATATAATTAAAAATTCTTTTTTAAAAAATATATTGTTCAATTCATCTCATTACAAATTTTCAAAATCTAGTTTTTATTTATTTTTTACTAATAGAGATTAAGATATAATTCAAAATCTAGTTTTTATTTATTTTTTACTAATAGAGATTAAGATATAATTACGGTCAAAGATGTGTGTTGGCAAATGTGAAATATTGACCGTTGCAATTAAAAAGGAATGGAAGAAGTATATATCATTTACCTTTTACCCAAAAAATGTAATAAAGATAATAATAGTCAAAAAGTATTAAAAACAATACAATCTCCACAAATATTTCTCCTAAAACAAATGATATACGGAGTATAGTATGATTTCTTAAGGACATTTATGAAAGAAATGCAACAACAAAAATTATAGCCAAATAATGAACGAATGAGACAACACTCTAAAACATGACCATGTGCCTTTGTTATTTTATGGGGAGTTTCGTCATGAATATTACTAATTAAAAGGGTCAGGACAAATATAGGACCTCTTTTAAATCTTTCCAACAAAGAGACAATTCGGTAGTCTCATTTAAAAAAATTCGGAAGCAAATATCGCATATGCCCTTGCTGCCCTACTGGTTAAATTACGTATATTCCTTGAGCCATTTCCGACGTTTTGTGGTGTGCTTGTGTGAGTTGTGTCAATCATCAATTTTGTTGTTTGTTTATTAATTGGTTAAACAATTTTTTTTTAATACTTTTTAACCCTTCCCATTTGTCATTCATCCTATTACGATTTACAATTATTTGATCCGATCAAATATACTCACTCAGTTTGTTATAGTTACCCAACTTAATTAGTTATAATTATCCGGTTTAATCAGTTACAATTACTCAATCCGATCAATTAAATTTATCTGATCTGACCAGTTACAATTACTCAATTGACTACTTACATTTATCTGATTCGACCAGTTACCGTTATCCGACCTCACCACCGTTCCAATTACTACCACCACCCCAGTGATCACCGTCCAATTTACTATCGCTCCAGTGACCACCGTCCACGTTACTATTGCTCCAGTGACATGTGCTGGCGATAGTGACAGTGACTACCAAAATCCATAAGTGACTCATCCCTGTAGTGACATGCCGTCGCTATTTCAGTTACCCGATCCGTCAATAATTACCCGCTTTGACCTATTACAATTATCAAAAATCGACAAATAACAGTTACTCGATTTGATCCATTAATATAGTGACTAACGCTACAGTGACAAACGTTACAGTGACCAATGGCCGCCCGTCCAATGACCAACGTTTGCCGTCCAGTGACCAACGTCCGTCCATCCAGTGACTAACGTCCGCCCACCCGGTTACAATTACCTGACCCGACCAGTTACAGTTACATGACCCTGATCGAATCATAAACAATTATCTGATCCAACCAGTTACAATTACTTGACTCAATCCAAACATAAACAATTATTCGATTCGACTAGTTACAGTTATTGACCCGACCAGTTACAATTACCCCCGATTCAATCATAAACAATTACCCAATTTGACTAGTTACAGACTTACAGTTACTGTATTTTATAGTTATGTGATCTGATCCTATTGATTACAATTATTCGCTCCAATCAATTTCGATTACTTAGTTCGACACTGACCACCGCAAGCCACCACTTAGCCACTATCGCCGGCCACACTGCCGGCCACCACCACTAACCACCACCTGGCATGTCTCTAACCCAACATCCAAACCCCTGCCGCCCCAACCAGCAGTTCCAGTGAGAGTGACCTTGTGCCCAGCCACAACCACCTGCTACCACTGTCGCCACCTTCCCATTCCACTGCTGCCTGCCGCTACTGCATCCCATAGTTACCAGCTCTCGGTGGCAATGGAAAGCTGCCAATTATATGGAGACACAACCATAACCACAACACCGCCTCCACCCTGGCTACCACCTCCAACCCGGACACCACCTCCTCCCCGAACACCGCCGCCGCCACGGCCACCAAATCCACCTAGCATTCTCCTCCTGGTTCATCCCTGCCCCATCAGACCTGTGGCTACCCCACAAACCCGTCAATGTCCAACCAACGTCTACCTATAACTATCAGCCACGGCCGCAGATCTGAAAAATGAATGTTGCCGCCGCTGTGTTAACACTTAACCCTAGCCACGAAGGAGAGGATTCGAAACCAGAGTATAAGATATTGGTCCAAGAAGACGATTCGAAATCCAAATCTGGATTAACCCTAGCCGCTAAGATAAATCGGAGAAGAAGAAGATAGAGCGAAGAAGACTTCGTCCATCGCCATAGCTCGCTCGTCGCACGAAGAAAATAGATGCGGAGTTTCAGATGCTGGATGCCTATAGACGGAAGCTCTTGAATTGCAAACTTGTGAAGAGGAATTGCACGGTAGTATAATTTGGGGAGATCTGCTCGTGGAGGAGGTGCGTGACATGTTTGAGTTAGACGGTGAGATGGATTAAATGGGCCAGGGGTATTTGAGGTTATTCATATCCACGACAGTCAGTTTTTTGTCTATTTAGAAACTTAATCCTATATGTGTCAATAGCAATCTCAGGATTACTATGTGTGTCATTCTTTCTTATTTTATTGATAAACCTTGTTTTTTAACATTTGATGTATATTGTTACACAATTATTATTACACGAAAAAGGAGTGTTATAGACACGTACAAACAGTCAAACACCAAGATGATACTCCTACTTCAGTGAGGAGGAATCGAGTATAATCCTGTGGGCCACCCTCTTCGCAAGAATGTCAAAGAAAAAACACGATTTCAACAAGATTTAGCTTCTTTAATCATGACGATCGTTCTAAATAAAATAAAATCAAGCATGAACCCAAAGCCACAAAGTCATCATTCAACTTTTAATTTTGGAGCTAAACTCGGTCCCATCACGCTAATGACAAGATTAAGTGACTCAAAAGTTAATACGTGTAACGACAAGCATATCCCGTGTGGGCCACCACCACCGTCCGACCACCTCCGATAAATACCCCACTCGACCATTTCGTTCCCTCCCTTTCCCTCTCCGATCTCCCTCCCCGCCGTTTAACTAGTTTTCCGGTCATGTTGTCAGCTATTCCGGCGACGTTTGACTCTCTTTTCTCAAACCCATTCCCCGATTTCCCATGGGATTCTTCCTTTGATTTCCAGCCTCATGAACCGGCGGTTCTTCCGACCGTTCAAACCCCGGTTCCTCAAGAACCGGTTATATCAAACTCCAGCTCCGGTTCATACGACGAGAAACCGAACCCGAAGTCCGAAGCCTACTCTAACTCCGGTTCCGATGAAGGAACCCGAAAGCGGAGCATATCGACCAACTCCGGGTCCGAAGTAGACGAACGGAAGAGGCGGAGAATGATCTCGAACCGGGAGTCGGCTCGCCGGTCGAGGATGAGAAAACAAAAACATTTGGAGAACTTGAGGAACCAAGCGAACCGGCAGAAGATGTTGAACCGGGAGCTACTGAACCGGGTTCAGACCGCCACCGCCCAGTGCCAAATGGTGAACACGGAAAACGAGCGGCTCCGGGCGGAGTCGGCGGTGCTCCGGCAAAGACTGTGGGACATGCACCAGTTCTTGATTCTCCGGCAACTTCAGCAGCAGGTCTCTTCCCCTGCATCATCTGCATGGCCGTACAATTACAACGTGGAACAACAAAGACCGCAATCGTTAATTACCAGATGAACAAATATTAATAATCGTTCAGTAAGTAAAATCAAATCAGAGGGTGGAAACAAACTTAACCATTAATTGATCAATTAATTAATGGAGTAAAAAACAACGGCAATCATCTCTCTGATCTATCTTTCTTAGGCTCTTAGCTAAATCAAAGCTAGCATATTAGCCGATGACTATCATTATTATATGTAAATAAGCGCCGTCCAATATACGTTTGGTTTTGTGTTCTTTAATTTAAGTATATACTACGTATATAAAATGATTCATATTACGTACTAGTACTTCGTATTTATTAATGAGTCTTTTTAAAAGTCGTTTAAACGTTATTTTCATTCTATTGATGGAAGAATATTTCATGATGAAAAGAGGCAGAGTTTAATTAATTACACATTTATACTATATACTAGTATACTAGCTCTGTCCCCTCTGTTTGGGACAAAAGAAGGTGACACGGTTATTAATAAAAGTGGATTCATGTGGTTGATATTAAATTGATAAGGTTAGAATAAAATAAAAATGATTTACAACCACACAAATTTTACCACATAAGGTATGAGACAATCTTAGTGGGACAAACCGAAAAGGTAAAATGGGACAATCATAGCGAGACGGAAGGAATACTATATACTCCGTATTTATATATTTCCATTTGCAATCTTCTTGACTAGTTTGAGGAAGCGCGCAATTTCCCTCAATTAACCTCAGCTCTTACTAAGGATGTTTTTACTTGGACTGTAATTGCCCCAGACCAGTCCAGACCAGACCAGACCAATTCAGACCAGACCAGACCAGACCAGACTTGGATAGTTATAAAAATACAAAGAAACCAGACCTTACCAGACCAGACCAGACCAGTTCAGACCAGACCAGACCAGACCAGATCAGACCAGACCAGACCAGCAAATTACAGTCCAAGTAAAAACATCCTAATTACGTAGTATGTACGTAGTATGGTATATAACTATAATTAAGGATGACACATTGACCGGCATAAACAAATCAAACTTAACAAGATCTCAATAGACCATTCGATCAAAAAAATTCTCAATAAACCACATTCTATAAAAGTAATGCACAGGCCGGTCCTATGTAGTGATGGAGCCGGTTCGGGCCACCCGGCCCGCTACTGTGCGGGCCCGGGACCGGACCGGTCCTTCGAACCGGTACCGGGTGTTGACCCGAACCGGAGGGGAAAGCGGGGGCGGGCTCGGGTAGGGCAAAAGGTGACCCGGCCCGGCCTGGCCCGGGGCCCGATCGGGCCAAA